GCTTACAAAATACAAATATTATATACTTCACTGACTCATCGATGCATGCGACGTCTGTGAAAGTCCAACAGTCAAGCCCTAGACAATCATAAAAATCGTATCATTCATCGATCATTCGAATGCGCGTCATAATTCGCTAGAAATAAATATGGTTAGGAAACAAGCTAGGTTTTGGGGCTGCGATCTATTGGGCCACGCTCAACTGTCGCTTAGGTTTTCCATTGTTATCGAACAGACAATGGGCGCATTAAGTGAACTATGAGCCATACAGCGTGATCGTGACTGCACATTGTTTATAAGGTGTGAAAATATTTAAGACTTTACATGAAAACGTTTGCCTACAAAACTGTTGATCGTTGAAAATTATGATTGATGATTGAACGATTGAATGCGCACAAAATGATTCATGTAGCACCAAAAAGAAAAACAACAACAAAAGTGGAAAAACGAAACAGTGAAACAACTTGTTGTCCTTTTGTACACGCTTTTTTTGATGCCAAGTATTTTTACAGGTTTTATCTTTCTTTCGAACATGTTTCAGTTTTTTTTTATTATAAAATAATTGCCACGCGAGATTTATGACTCGCCGGCGATCGATCAGCGTTTGTCAGTTTGATTCAAGGCGGCTTTTACTTATGGCTCAAATATATGTATGTATATATATATATATATATAAATATATTTGTCTGTATGTATGCGGGTACTCATGAATAGTTTATGTGGGTGGCTGCCTTTTGAGTCACACTCGGAGCCATTGTGTCTGGTTTGATCTGCGTGTGGGTTAGCCTGCGGGCCAGCAAATCACTTGAATCGGTTGACAGAATCTGGTTAGCTTATATAAAATATCAGTTCAATTTATTGGCCTATAAAAAGGGGGGCATATCATAAATGCTCACAAATATCAGGTGTCTTTAGCATTTACAGGGTATTTACAAGAGGTCTTAATGGGTATTTCGAATTTTTATTGCGTGCAGTTAAAATGAAAATGTTATAAAATTATATAGGTATTTCAATTATATTCCAGGTCTCGATTATGCCAATAGATGAACGATATACGATATGAAAATTGAAAGCTCTACCTGTCTCCTTTGCAGTTTTATAAAACCTAAAATGAAAATATGAAATTATAAAGAAAAATTAAATTATTTTCCACGTTTCAATTAAAAGATTATCGGATGTTCTACCTCTCTCTTATGCAAATGTTTTATAAATTATATAGAAATTTGAATTATGCATATTCCCCGTTTCAAATATGGCAATTGATCATCGCTATACCTGTCTCACTTTTCGTTTTGCACAATTATTGAAATCATCAATTAATAATTTTTGTTTGCACAGTCTTTGTGCGCATTATCTTCAGACATTTATTCACTTTCTATGTTTTCAACACAAAGAAATAACAAATACGAAAACATTTATAAGTTGCCTTTCACTTGCGGCCTACGCAAAATACATTTTTGTCGGTGATTGCCGAAACCTTAAAAGTCTTGTCAATCAACTGTTGACAAGGTTTGCCTGCCCGCTAATTAAGAGTTATGATCGATCTAAACATGCATAAATTGCTAGGCATAAAAAAAAAGAAAAACAACAAGAGCCAAGAGTCGAGGCTACCACACGGCAGCTGCTTATCATATAGCCAACAACAACAAGTATTTTAGCCTGGTTTTCATTTCTGTTGTTGTTGTTGTTGGTTCTTGAAGTTTAGCAACATGCACGGACTGTTGGCAACGCCACAATGTTGCCCAACATGTCAGAAGCTAAAATGCGTGGCATTGTTCGCTTTTAGCACCCTACAGCCATTTCACATAAACATTACGTTATAGCCAGCCCAATGAACACGTTACAACAAGGAGCTCGCGCAACCCGAGCCCAAAGTCAAGCCCAAGTCCAAGCCCAAACCCAAACAGCAAATACCTCCTTCTTCTTCTTCTTCTTCGACTCGGACTCGCACTCGCACTTTTAACTGCAAAGGTATTTCATTCTGGGGGCATGTGGCACTCGCCTCACTCGAAGCTGGCAGCGTAAATTGAGTTTATTGCGCCGCCGTATTGCAGGCAAATTACAGGTCGGCACATTTAACTTTGTGCCAGGATATGAAAGGGGGCAGAGACAACTAACCAAGCGAGCGACCAAACGACTGATACCTCGACAACTCTGCTGTCAGCTAATGAGTGTTACAGGCGCAACTGACAAACGCTCTACTCGTAATACCCTGTTTGCAATTATTTTTCGACTTCTTTTTTTTTCGTTAGCGGGCATTTTGAGGGCTTGGTTGAACAGAGATATAAAAATCGCTGAATGTATAATCAAAATGGTTTATTTGGATTTATTTTTAAAGCTTGCTGTTGCTATTGATTTTATTTGTTTATATAATCTTTAATTATTATTTTCAATTATTATATTGCCCTACAAAGTACAGGATATCTGCTTATCAAATAACTCTACAAATTCCAAAGGATAATTTCTCATTACTAGGTGTACTTTAGTCCATCAGAGTGAACAATTCTATCTCCTTTTTTTGCAGCAGCAAAGCCTTTCAAGGCTTTTCTCTGACAGCTCCAACACACAAAACTCGCATGACTTGTCCATATGTCATAATACTCCACAGTTTTTGCTCTCTCAGCGTTATTACAAGCTTTTGTTTTGCATCTTTCGTTTATTTTTTTATACTTCGCTTTTTTTTGCATTGCATTTCTTTTCATTTCAATTCATTCAGCAATGCTCTTAATTTTTTCTCACCTCGTTGCATTATTTAACGCAAATTAAAATAATTTGCGGTTCCGTTTCAGCGGGCCCCCAAGTAGCAGCGGCAGCTCCGTCGGCAATTCTTCAACCGCACAGCACAACACCTAACAATCCACTCGAAACAGGTTCGCACTCGCAGGTTCTTCAGGCTCTTCATTGCAGCTCAGCTCAGCTCAGTTCAGTTCAGTTCGGTTCAGGTTCAGCTCAAGTGCGACAGTCGCTGCAAACAAATTCAAGTGCAACACGCATATGCTGCATAAAGAAATGGCCACAGCAACAACAACAACAACAACTGCTGCTGCAGCAAGAAAGAGAGGCAAACAATTATATTGCAATTTACATTTGCTGCAATTATGAAAATGAATTGAAAACTAGCGGCAAGCTACGTTGCAAACGCTCACAATATAAATTGAAAGCAAATGCAGTAATATTTTCTTAAGAATGGCAAAAAGTGGGGCATATTGACTACAGTGTTAGCTTGACTAGAACTATTTAATTTTAAATATTAAATGCTATTATTATTATTT